ATATATATATATATAGAGCGACCGAGAGAGAGAGAGAGAGAGAGAGAGAGAGAGTGAGAGTGAGAGAGAGTGTGTAGAAAGTCCTTCATTTGTAAAAACAAATCAAAATATAAAGAACACATAAAACCTAGTGTTACCTGTTGTCCTCCATAGCAGGTACATGTGCAAATTGCTCCGAGATATTCCTTCTGCCACTGGTTGCCCACCTGGTACAGCTTCCCATCATCATAACAGGTGGATTCAACTACAGCAGACAATGAACGTCAATCAACCAACCAACCATTAAATGTTAAAAACTGCATAGACCCAACTGTTGAAAAACTCTGCTTACGGGGTTCACACTTAAACTCTCCTTTCCCGTTGCCCAGACAGGTGCAGCTCATCATGTGACCGTTCTCAGCATGACGGTCCCACTTCTCACCAATTCGGTAGTTGTGGCCATTATCATGGCACCACTCTGTAGATTTAAAGACACTTGTTGGTTAGTACATAAACCTTCAAATGTGTCTAGAGAAAGACATCTTAGAGTTTCCAGTGAATTCATCCTTCACACACATTCATACAGTGGTTATTGTACAAAATAAGCTAATCTCAGAGTTTAATATCGTCTGGTTAAAGGCTGACAATACAAATCTGAGACACGAGCCACCTCATCTCTGGCTGCCATGTTTGATAACCTCGACAAACATGTCAGGAAAAGCTAGCATGGGCAAGTGTAGAAAAAAAAATATGAAACATGACCTGTCTTTAACTGGCAAATGGTCACCCATGCTACAATGAGGTGTGGTGTTTAACATGTAGCAGCACTGCTCATTCACTCACTGGATGAATCACATCTGAAATGACCACTGCCAAGGCCAAGGCACTTGCACCAGAGTTTAAAGCCCGTCTCGGACATGCGCTCCCATTCTGCGCCCACCTCATGGTAGGTGGCGGTGAATGTGTCATAGCACACATTCCTGCCTGTGGGAATCACTCCAGCCTCTGGAACTACAGAATATGAGGAGTCAGGAACAAGCATGTTAAGCTCTTGAAATATGGTTACAAATTTGTTTGGGTTAGGGATGATTTACCACCGTTTCCGACAGTCACAACATCATCCAGGACTTTCTGTTTTTGGTCTCCGTTGACAGACTCCACAAGAACATGATAGGAGGCACCAGAGGTGAGACCGATCAGTGTAGCACTAGTGGACGTACCAGGCAGACGCATCTGAAGGAGAGAGAGAGTGTATTAATTAATAATCACTGATAATATCATACTACAAAAAAACTAAAAAAAACGTCAATAGCTAGAAGCTACCATCATACAGAACCAAACAGGCAAATTTGCACTTTACTTTAGTTTTTATGCTAAAAGTGTAAGCTTTTTTCCCCCTGTGTATTTGTTTCATTATATAATTATTGCATTTAATTTTACACCCTGAAATGTCCATCTGCACCCGGATCAAACCAACTCTTTAATGCCCATTCAGTAATTTACTTTCTACCACAATAACGTAATTTTAAAATAAAAAAAGAAAACAGGTATTTTAAATTGTAATAGTATATCACAATATTACTGTTTTTACTGTATTTTGATCAAATAAATGCAGTATGAAATAGTTTTCAAAAACATTAAAAACTTTTACCATCCCTTAACATTTAAACTGTAGTGCGTAGATAAAACACTTTACTTTAATAATTTATTTCATAATAAATTATTTATGTAAGTTAATGCATTTAATCATGTACCCTGAAATGCCCATATACACATGGCTTAGATCAACTTTTTAATGTTCATTCAATAATGTACAGTAATGTTTTACATTTTCTTGATTCAGGTGCATTACCAGTAACTATTGATATATGCAATTAATTGAATACTTTGATTTTTCTTTTTAATGTTTTAACTGATTGACAGCACTAGTATTTAATTACAGGACTTTCAATATCAGATATGATTGTTTACTCACCTGGAAGGTCTTCTCATTAATCTCTGTAATGGGACTGCATGACACCACATACTCTGAGGTGTGCGGCACAGGCTGCCACATGATTGTGGTCTGGGTCTGAGCTTCCTGGGGCAGGTTTGTCTCATTGTAAAGGCCACTGAAGGGGAAGCCAGGTTCAGGTCCCTCGCTCACCTGCACCACTGGCACTCTCTGGCCATCTGCTCCTGGCAGGGGGATGTAGACCAGGGGCTCGCGGTGGCTAGGGGGATGAGGCTGCTGGCCGTTATTGCCCAGGTTGTAGCTCTGATATTCAGTGTAGATGTGTTGGCCCTGCTGCCCAGGTTTGTGGTGTCTGTTTGGCCCCAGCATATGCACATGGTTGTTGAAGTGGTCGTTGTCCTCTGGCACATCCAGGATGTCATGGCTGGGCCGGCTGGGGTCGGGGAGCTGGGGGGTCGGCTGGTGACTTTCCAGTTCTAGCAGGAAAATTGTGTTGGGGCAAGCAAATGAGCAAAATAATGCAATAGCATATGTTGCCAGCAGAGGGATATGTACAGCGCATTTAATTCATTGTGCTTTGCTTAGATTAGCCTTGCTTTTATTTCTTTTGAATTAAAAGTCTTTTAAAAAGGAGCAGCACATATCATATAACATAACATCACATAACAATGCTGGTGATATGTACTATATGTATTAATAGCTTTATTAAATATCATCATAAAATGTATTACAATAACAGTTTGAGTGCAAATAGTACCACCAAACAACTTAAAATATTTTTCAACATGTAGATGTGGAAGTACACTACAGTTCCAAAGTTTGGAGGTAAAAAGAAATGACTACTTTTATTTGGCAAGGATGCATTAAATTGATCAAAAGTGTCGCTAAACATATAATGCTACGAAAGATTTCAAACAAAGGCTGTTCTTTTGAAGGATTCAAAGAATCCTTAAAAAAACCTCTCACTATTTCCACCAAAATAAGGAGCAGCATAACTGTTTTCAACACTGATAATAAGAAATGTTTCTTGAGCAGCAACTCAGCATATTAGAATGATTTCAGATGGATCATGTGACAACGAAGACTGGAGTGATGATGCTGAAATTTCAGATTTGGCATCACAGGAATACAATATTTTCTAAAATATATTAAGATACAAAACAGTTCTTTTAAATTGTAATTTTAAATGGTAAAATTTCACAATATGACCATTTCTAATTTATTTTTGATTAAATAAAAGCAGCCTTGGTGAGTATTAGAAACTTATTTTAATAACATTAAAAAAAAACTTACTGACCCCAAACACATAAAGAGTAGTGTAAAAGAAAAGTTAACGAAAGTACTTACGAGTTTTTGCCTTTCCAATCAGTGGAATGCTTCTCTGAGCGTTATTTAATGCCACAATCTTGATAACATATTCAGTGCCTGGTTTCAAACCTGCACGTATAGACCACAAAAAGGTTAATAAAAAACTATAAGTATAAATAATGGGAGACAAAAAGGTACAACATTATGAAAGCCATAAACTGGGAAAGAGCAGTACCAGAGATGGAAGCGAAGGTCCTGCCAGCCTGAGGTCGAGGGGTCAGCTCTTTAGGAATGTCTCCAGGTTCTTCATAGGTCACGTAGTATCCTGTGATAGAGTTTCGTGGAGGCTCCCAGGTAAAGGAGATTGAAGTAGGAGTCAGAGAGGTGAAATGGAGGTTTGTGGGTGGGCTGATAACTGGTTTCGCTGAAAAAAGTATTAAATAATTTAAATATAAATAACCCCGTTATGTTATGTTATGTTATGTTATATGTTATGTTATGTTATATGAGGTACGTTATATGAGGTACCTGTAGTAGCTGTAAGGGTGAAAGGCTCACTACGTGCACTTCCATTCAGAGTATAGATATTGATCTTATAAGTGGTTCCTGGCTCCAGACCTATAGAACGTAGAATCATATGATCGAAACAATCACAGTTTTCAAAACAAATATTTACCAAGCATATGTCACAGCCTGTAATACGAGCTACAGCTGTGTTGTGTTGTACCAGTAATGGTGTAGGTGCGTGAATCAGGTTCAATGGTTCTCTGGATTGGGTTATGGCCGCCCATGGTGGGTGTGGCTTCTACCAGGAAGCCAGAGATGGACTCAGTCTTAGAGCGCCAGGTGAGAGTGATGGAGGAGTCCTTCACATTGGATATACGGACACGTCGAAGTGGACTAATGTCTGGGAAAATGAGATCTAGATTGAGTTTTGGCCAGAACACAGCAAATTGGTGGAGAATGCAGGTGTAATTCAGAGACGTTTTAGGGAAGGTGGCTTACTGTCAGGTGTTGTGACTTCTCCCTTGACACGACGGCTGGTGAGAGAGTTCTTCACACCGTAAACCTCCACTTCATAATCAGTGCCAGGCTATAAACACACATAAAGCCTTGAAAATGTGCTTCACAAAATACCATATAATTTTCTGAAACAATCTGGCACAGGCTTTAATCTTTGATCTACACACTGACCAAAATGACAAGGTAGATGTACAATGTGAGGTTTGCCTGATGGAGATTAGCATTGCTCTCGGACTACCAGTAACCCACAATCACAGCTAAAATCAAGAAATAAATTCCTCAAAACCCGAGGAACAGATTTTTCCATGAAACCCCTCAGTGCTGTTTTTAAGGACTTTTTGGCATGAAAAGCATGAAAGCATAGCATGTAACGTAGAACATAAGTAATTTGTTCCACATTACGTCTAATATCAGTAAGGTTAACGTTTTGAGAGAATGAACTTCTGCAAGTGTGAGATTTATTCACCATGAGTCCAGTGGCGTGGAACTCAGTCGAGTCAGGGGAGATGTTGTCCTCTTTAGTGGGTCCATTCTTGCTCTTGGGGGTGATGGCCACACGGTAACCTGTTAGCCTGACGTCAGAAGAAGACCAGGAGACAGTGAAGGATGTTGGACCCACTTGGGAGAAGTGCAGACTTGTGGGCCCAGGAATAGCTACAGGGGGAGAAGAGAACATTAAAGAAACATTAAGTATATTACCAGATTTTAACATTTTCTAAAGAACATGAGACTCACTACCACAATACTGGGATGCTGTAATGGTTGCCAGGATATTGTTTTTGGTGTATAGCATGTTGCTGTGCAGTTGCTAAGGTGTTCTGGGTGATTGCTAGGTGGCTACTAAAGTTCAGTTACTTTAAGTTACAGTAAAAATACGGTAAACAGTAATATTGTGAATAATAGTATATACAATAATAAACACGATACATTTTTTTCAGAATTTTTTTTGAAAGTTGCTTGGAAAAATAAAAGTACACTTCTCATTAATTTAATGATTTTAGGTTTCATTCAGTGCAGAACTTATGCATCAAAGTTTTATAGTGAGGACTGAGTAAATAACAAATAGCATTTATAATTAATTTATGTTTTTTTATATAATAAATTAAAATAGTATAATATTAAATAATTATTATAGTTAGAAAAACTGCATTTTGGTAGATCTGATCTTAAATAGTAGAAGAGCAGCTGTTTAAAGTAATACCTGTTGTCTGAGTGCCCACCAGTGGAGTGCTGGGGGTCCGGTCATGCAGTGCGATGACTTTAACAGTGTATTCTGTGCCCGGTCTGAGGCCATGCAGCACTGCAGACTCATCATCTCCACGTGGGGCAGGGAACAGCTCTCTCTCTCCCTCCTCTGGACTGTAGTACAACACTCTGTAAGAGGAGACCACTCCATCAGGACTCTCCCAGGAGATGCGCATGGACGTTGAGTCCACGTCAGTGAAGGACAGATCTTTGGGTTTATCCACCGCTAGAGAAAGAAATATTTGAAACTATGAATGAATCGGTTTCAATTAAACCTGATGTCATTACATCTGCAATATTTTAGAATATTTACAAATGGATGAATTAACAGTGATACTTTCATACGTCTTTAACACCCCTTGTGAAAAAGTGAACTTAACTGTATTGAATGTGCTCTTACAATAGTATCTTAAAAGTATATTTTTTATAAAACTGTACTTGCAAATTAATAATGATATTAACGAAATAAAAAGCCACTTAAGTGAACTTACACTTTTATGACTTAACACACTTAAGTACACATTTAAAATGCACACTTTGTGATAATGTCAAATAAAAAAATTAAAGTACATTTTAAATCATTGTTTATGCATTAAATAAGTACTTTTTTGATGTGTTGACATTAAAGCGCATGTAAAGTACTTGATTATTATTTTAACTGTAATATGTTATTTGATATTACATTTAAAATTAAGTGGGTCTAAAAGCATTCTAATGTTCAGCTAATTGCATTTAATATAAATCGAATCTACGACATTTTTTTTTATTAATTGCATTTAACATGCTAAAATGTTTACTTAAAGTACATTATTTCCGTAATAAGTACTCTTTTTTTTTTTTTAAATATGCTAAAGTGTACTTCTGTTTTACAAGGGATCCAATCACTTTTACAAACGATATGAGACTGTGAAGCAAAAAAACTCTTTCTCTAAGTTTGTGCACCTACTTGTGACTACAGTTTCGACCAGAGGGGGGCTCTCTCCATCCTGTCCCAAAGCATACACACTGACAGTGTACTCCGCTGTCGGCATCAGGCCATAGAACGTCATTTCAGTCTGATCTGCAATTACATGTGAAAAACACACCTATGTAACTCTCACTTTGACAGCATTACCTCCTTCATTTCAAAAGTAGGCACAACACAATATTTTTATTGAGAGTGATATACATTACCTGGAGCGACCACTTCAGAGAAAGCAGGACCCTGTCCATTTAGTGGAGTTCCTGTGACACGATATCCTGAGATGGGGCCCACTGCTGGGTTCCAACGCACAGTAATAGTGTTGTCCTTCACGTCAGTCACCTCCATCTTTGATGGAGACTCAATATCTATGTTTAAAGAAACAAAGTCCATTATTTATAACTTGTTGCTCTCAACTGAGTGATATACTGTAATTTTACACCATCCTGTCTTCCTAAATCCGTAAAAAGTCTGTCAAACCACCCAACAAAGACCTGCCAGACATTCTCAGATGCCTCGATTTACCTGTTCTGTGTATAACATGGATGGGGGTGCTGGACGCAGGGCTGTCCCCTCTGCCGGTCACAGCGTAAACAGTAATGGTGTAATCGGTGCCTGGACGTAGGCCTTCAATAGTGGCAGTAGACTGGGAGCCGGGGACAGAAAATTCCTGAGGGGCGTCAAAACCTCCTGAATGCGAAAGATCAGAACAATTTAGTCAATGTCAAACAAACCATGGTAAAAGGACCATCAATTCACACAAAGACGAATATTCAATGAATATACAGCTGGAATATAAAATAATAAAGCTGGCCCACCAACAGAATTTACCATTTTGGTCACATGACCAGAGCAGCTGCTGTTACATAAAAATAGTTATACCAAACATACATAATATTAATTTAAAATATGTATTTGACACATAATCACCTTAAAGATTATTGTAAATACATGTAAGGTAAGAGCAAATGTGTGGTTTATAAGTTAGTTGAGCCAGTAGGATTGCTTGGGGTCTTAATGGAGACCCGATTTTGACTCTGTTTGTCTGTTTTTTGACTCATGTCTCTGTTTTTTTTTTAATATATATATATATATATAACTTGATAAACATCATAGTAAATACAAAAATCTGAACAACTCTTAGAAAACATTTAAATACTGTTTGACTTCCTTTCTTTGTGACTAGTGGATGTCAGAGACGTAAACTTGCGTAGTATTTGTGTCTCGGAGTAACCAGGGCAATTTCTGCTTTTCTAAAAGAACCATCTACTGTCAGAGAGTCAATCTACATTTACTTTCAGTCCATCTGCTGTTTTTTTTACACATTGTTTTGAAAAGACACACTGCATGTGAAAATCAGACCGAATTTTCCATTTTTTTGAACAGGCCTTAAAGGGTTAGTTCACCCAAAAATGAAAATTAGGCTGTGTTTTACTCACCCCCGAGGCATCCTAGGTGTATATGACTTTCTTCTTTCAGACGAATCCAGTCGGAGTTATATAAAAAATTGTCCTAGCTATTCCAAGCTCTATCATTGCAGTCAGCAGGTGTTGCAGTGCTTCAGTCCAAAAGAAGCTAAATAAAAAGCGCCCATCCAAAAAAAGAAAGTGTCTCACACGGCTCCGGTGGGTGAAGAAAGGCTTCCTGTAGCGAATCGATGCGTTTTTGTAAGAAAAATATCCACATTCAAAACGTAATAATCACTTTAATCTAGCTTGCGCCAACAGTTGTACATGGAAGCAGCTCTGGGAGGATGACGTATGAGGTCGGCGTTGCGCCGGCGAGTCTCGTGAAAACCAACGTTTGTTAACAGGAGCAAAGGAAGCAAAGTTTCCTTACTTTAGCAAAGGAAAACCAGTCTCCTCTTGGCTTATATCGAAATCCTCTGACATTCTTCTTTACAAATCCTCGTTTTGTACTTCTAATTAGTGACCATTGTTTTGTTTTGATCTCTCCCCTGCGCTTCCGCGTTCGTCACTTCTGAGCGGCGCATGCGCAAAGCCGACCTCATACGTCATCCGCCCGGAGCTGCTTCCGTGTTCAACAGTGAGTGCAAGCTAGATTAAATTGATTACGTTTTAAATATGGTTATTTTTCTTACAAAAACGCATCGATTCGCTACAGGAGGCCTTTGTTCACCCCCCGGAGCCGTGCGAGAGACACAAACTTGTCAACACCATTTCGATAGGATCCAATCACCTACCCAACTCTCCATGTGTGATCCTGTAGTACCTCACAGTGACAGAGGGGGCGTCCCAGCGAACGGTGATGCTGGTTGGCGTTGAGGATATAACTTCCAGGTCAGTGGGGGCATCAGAGACTAACAGAGAAAAAGTAATGAGAGACAATTAGTACTAATTCGATCTAAAGTGAGCTGCAATGAGAAGTCAAAAGGCAGGAAGTAACAGCATACTGGTAGACTGAGTTCCAGTTAGAGGCAGACTCTCGCGGGATCCGCTGACGGCATAGACGCTGATGCTGTATTCGGTCTCCGGGGTCAGGCCTGTGAGGGTGAAATGGCTCCTTGATGGGGGCAGTCTCTCCTCTTTAACACGTCCACCACTGGTCATTTGGTAGCGGATACGGTATCCTGAGATAACGGCCTGAGGAGCCTGCCAGCGTACGGTGAAGGAGTTGGTGCCAACATCAGAGAACTGCAGGCCGACAGGTGCATCGAGGACTGTGAAGTAAAAGGATGCAGCCAATGAAACAGATCTTAACGCAAATCTTAATATTTCTACAGTTTTAGCCAACAAACTCACCTGTTCTCTGAGTGCTAATGGCAGGTGAGCTCTCTCTCTCTTCATAGACACAAATCACACTCACCAGGTACTCAGTGTTGGGCACAAGATCTAAAATCACACGGAGAGACTCATTACTAATGTGGGTTCAATACAGAAACTAAAGACAGAACTGCACAAACAAATAAGGGTCAATTCTTCTATAAGTCACTTACGGCGAAGAACAACGTAGTTTGTGTTTCCATCCACAGTGCGCTCAATGGTGTCATCGTCGTCATCAACTGGATGATAGCGGATGATGTAGCGGTCGATATCAGAGGATTTGGGCACCTGAGGGGCATTCCAGGTCACCAGCATAGTGTCTGCGGTCACTTCTCCAAATGACAGGCCAGATGGGGCAGGGACAGCTAAAAGAGACAGGAATAAAGTGAATAACTTTTTATTTCCAGTCAAAAGCTGCTTTTTTTTTGATGAAATTTTTCTCTGTGTAATATATTTCATTATATTATTACAGATGTTTTACCAGTGTCACACAGGGCTCTCAAGTTTTATTTTAGTATTATGTATATACAATTTTTAAAAAAAATTTATATTATATATA